GATCTACCTAGTGATTCTCATACCGTACCATGTACCATATGAATACGACATCAGAATGACTTATTGACGGCCAGCAATCAGAATGAAAAAATCAATGCATTCATTTATTCCTTCCTCTATACACTGGTAACCGCGCGAAACAAAATGATTAGAACCAGAGAGTCCATTTGCCGAGCAGTCCGGTTGAAGTGTCATCTTTCTAGCTGGTGCCCTAAGAGCGAACGATCATCCACGTGGGGTCCTTTGTTTCACCAGCCAGCGGACTCCTGGGAGTCCTGAAAGTGTAAAGGAAAAAAAATTGTTAGGACTACCGGAAAGACATTAATTTTTGCGGTGTGGACATGAAACTCACGAGTAATCTGGTGATGAAGACCGGGAATCAAAAGCCATATGGCAAGGTGGAGAAATCGGTTTGAAGGACTCGCTTGTCGTACACCACCTGATACCTTTTACTCTCTTCTTTCGTGATGAGCCTCTTCCCTCTCTTGTCACAGGTGATTTTTTTAGGGTTAATGACGGCAACTTGCTCTTCCTCGTGGATCTTTTGCCTCTTGGCTCCCGCCTTCATTGGTTGGAAGGTCGATATGAGGCGATGCATTGCGTCAAATGTGATCCTTTTTGTGGCAGAGTAGTTGAGGGTGAAACCACGGACTTTGAGGCACTCCTTCCCGCGTGAAGTCCTATACGCATAATTTTTCGGGCCTCCCGAAATGAAATTTACAATGTGGTCACCCTCCAACTCATCGGTGAAATCTCCGAGGAAGTCCCCAAGAGGCGGATCGTTTTTGCCATCACTGACATAAATTACTGAATCAATATCATAATATAAGACAGCCTTGCCCAGTTGCTGAAGGGTAGAATACAGCTTCAACCGGGCATGGCATGTGGTGAAGGCTGCAATGAATATATTGGTCGCAGATTGCTGTGGCTGATGTTCCTCTTTGTAGGCCCACGTAATCTCCATAACCGACTCATTAATGACGTTCATCCCATTGATGTTAATCTTGGGGTCGGCTAGGAAGCGGTTCATCTCGGG